GATGCAAACTAAAATATCATGTGCCGAATTTTGTCTTTTCCACGTCCTGCGCCCTCAACATCCTCTTCGTCTTCTCCACATGCATAGTTCTCGTCCGCTTCGACCGACGGAAACAAATGATTCTCCAGCAAAGCAAACGGCGGTGGAAAATCGTGCTCAAATCGTTGGAGCCTATATTTGAGCCTAAAACAACCTTTTGCGCCAGCACCTGTCTACCGATGCGGTTCATCACCTCCTTCCTAAAACCCCTAGGCAGAGCGGACAGGGATTAGAGCCGGGGGGTCGCCGACACAATACGGATGGAAGACATGGTCACTCGGTAAAACAAACTGCCTTCACCTGCTGGCAGCCAAAAAATCAAATATGCACCTGTGTAAATAGATGGATAATTGTTACGCCTTCTTCATATTCTATATCTGAAAATTTCAATTATTTTTGTATATTTTTCTTCTTCAATTTATTATTGGTGAAAAACGAAACAAACGTTTCAATGATGAACAATGTTGAGCGTAACCTATTACTATTAATTTACCTATTATGATTTTAATTTAATATTAAATAAAATAACTCTTCATATTCTTTATATAGTAAAAATCATTTAATATACCCCCAATATAATTAATAGTAAAACTTTCTTATTATTAAATAATTTCATTCAAATATATATAACAATGTATTATTAAAATAAAAAACTTTCTTATACATTAACAAATAAGAAAGTATATATATGGAAAATATTGATAATATATTTTAACAACTTCACAATAATATATTAAAATACTATATATATTTTAATTATAAATTACTTTTAACTTTTCACAATATTTTCAAATTTATTTTTTGTCCATAAATTAATTTAAAATAGTGTACGACATATATATAATCTATGTTACATTTTTAATACTATATACGATAATAAAAAAATATTTTTCCCAAAAAAAAAATTGTATCATTAACTTTAATTTTAAATATATTATATATAAAAATAGAAATAAATAGATCATTTATTTCATAAATATATATAATAAATAATAAATAAAATTTAAATGTTTATATTTAATATATATACACAAATAAAAAAATATATATATTGGTCCACAAATATATAACCACCAATCAAATTTTTTTAAAAAAAATTAGAACTTTTATTTTACATTACGAGAAAGAGAGACAACAATAAATTCAAATATATATATACATATAATATATATATATAAGATAAGATAAAATATGTTTTCATTTTATTTTATTATAAAACCGTATGTATAATGTAAATCCTATTTTATTATTAACAATGATTCATTAATTTTAAAATTTATCCATTAATCTTTTATTTGAACGCTTCAAATGAATAAATATATTATTATTTTTATCTGAATTTTTAATTATTACATATTATTAGATAAACACAAATAAATAAAAATAAATATAAATATAATATAATAAGTTATAAAGCTTAAAAATATATACTTATACTTTAAAACAAATCATTAATAACCTATAGGTCTAATAGAATATAATTTACAAAAATATTGATATATTAATCATTTATATAAATATAATATAAATTATTTATATAAAATAAATAATAACGTATATCACATATGTTAAAATAATTAATTCAAATCTTATACTAATTAATAATTTTATATATAATTCTTAAATTTAAAAAATATATATTAAAAAATAAATATTAATTAATAATATATTTATAACATTGATATCTTGCACTATAAATATATATTAAATGTATTAAAAATATATTGAAGAAAATAAACTATAAAGAAATTATCAATAATCAATTATAAAAGAAAAAAAAATACAAAATAATTAAACCAATCAAATTATACGATCAATAAAAAAAATACAAAATAATTTCAACCAATCAAATTACACAATCAATTAAAAACACATTCGCCCACAATGCTTTAACCAATCAAATAATATAACCAATCAAAAATTAAAGAAAAAAATTCAAAATTGTTCTAAATTCTTGTTTTACATTGTCGTGAGGCCACAATGAGTTCAAATAAATATATATATATATATATAAGAAAGTGTAAAGAAGGAAAAAAAAATAATTTAAAGTATGAAGTGATTTGGAAGAGTAGTACTCCCTTTCTTCTCAATATTTAGCCCATTTTGGCTTCAACCCGAGGCTTAAAAAAATATTTTATTGAAAAAATAGAAAAAGTATAAAAAAAAAAAAGAAAAAAGAAAAAGTTAAAAATATTTTTAAAATGTTAATTAGTTATTAAAGACCATTAAGAGAAAATACGATAAAATTAATAGCATTATAAAATTAATAGCATTTATTATAAATAAGTGATGAATGAAAAGTAATAATTAAATTTTAATTTTTTTATTATTTTCAAATATAGTAATGATATAAATTTAACACACGACGAAAAAAAATAAAAATAAATTTGATGAACAAAAAGAGTAATAAATAATCAGTGACAAGATCTCAAAGTTGAAAAGTATTTTGTGAAAGACTCATTTTTAAGGGAACTCAACCCTCAAATTCTATATTCATTTTAAATCCAAAATCCAAACTTAATTTTACATTCATATTTCAGTTATTATTTTTATATTAAAAAAAAAAACATCTGTCATAATAAATTAAAATTTGAGACTTTAAATATAAAAAATTAAAAATAAATAAAATTAGAAGAAAATAAATAAATATAAAATGATAGTTTTTAATCCAAAACAATCAACAATAAAAATTGATAAATATAAACTAAGGGATGGATTGAATTAAAATTTTACTGAATTTTTTTTAACTTAAAAAAATATATAAATTTAAAAAATTTACATAGCTCCAAGTAAGGTAGGACTTATTTTGCTTATTAATTTATATAGATTTTTAAGAATTTAGATGGATTATTTATTGTTAGCGATATGATTTACATGAACTTCATAAAAGTGACAAGATTCTAGAATAATATTTTTATTAATTTATATAGTTTCGGCACGCTACAAGTATATATGATGTAAATATGTATATATATAATTTATTCAAAGTATTTAATAAAAATATATATTAGTTTCTAAAAAATATATTCCTTCCGTCCCATATAAAATATCTATTTTTTTTATTTCAATTCGTCCTATATAATTTTTTAAATTTATTTTTTTAAATATGATAATACACTTTACATTTTAAATTTTATAATTTTTCATTTTTACATTAACTAAACTATTTAGTTATTATAATTTTAATGTATAATTATTTTTATTAATATATTTTTTAATTATTTATTGAAATTCTCATTATGAAGTATATCTAAAAGTAATTTTTTACAAAAAATAAACATATATCTAAAAAATCGAAATGAAATTCAAGATTTTTTTTTAAAAATGAATTAGAAATTAGAAAAGAAAAATGAAACAATTAAGAAAATGAATAAATATCAACAAACAGTTAAAACCGGAATCTTCAGAACTAAAATCAAAACTGCCAAATACAAACCAAAATAGTGATTCAGAAAATTTGGTTTTTGTTTCGAAATCCATGGTTTGAATTGTTTTGTTAAGTAGTGGTTTAACGCTATTTATTTATGAAATAAATTATAATTACATTTTTCATTTCCACTTCATTGATTTTTCTTAAATATGTGAGAAACTTATCATTTATGCCGAGTAGAATGGTAAAAAAATAAAAAGAAGAAAAAGAAAAAGTAAAGAAAAAAAGAAAAAGAGAAAGTAAAAAAAAAAGATTAAAAAGAAAAAAGATGATATTGTAAATTTATTACCATAAAAATTAATTTTTTATATTATATTTATAATTAAAAATATTTTATAAAAAATAATAATAATAGTTTTTGTATATTAATTTTAGTTTATAATTTTTTATTATATTATTATTTAACATGTCGATATTTTTATAATTTGTATTTATTTATTGTAATTCAATATCTAATTTAATTGATTATTAAATATATATGTCAATTATAATTGTTTTAAAATAAAAAATTATAATAATATTAATAAATATTATTCTAAATTCATAATTTTTATCAATTATATAAATTAATAAGATATATTTACATTATAAAAATTCATTAAAATCTCTTTTTATTAGTAGAAATTTCATAAAAATACATTTTATTTGCAATTTTATGTGAAAATCTATAAAATTCATAAAGTTTTAAAATCTATTTTAAATTGTTGAACATTTTAAAATTTTAAAAAAATTAAAATATATGAAATTGAATATTTTCAAATTTTTTTATTTAAAAAAAAAACATAATTAAAATACCTCTTACTCTTAAAAAACCTTAAAAGGAATACATCTAAAATTTAAAAATCAAATAGAAAATATTAGATTGAATTAAAAATTTTAATTTCAATTTGACCTTCCAACCAATCAAAACTGACAATTTAAAACTTTAATAATCTATTTGAAGAACAAAGTTTAAAAAGGGATTTAAGGACTTCAGTCAATAAAAGGCAAAAATACACGATGAACATAGAAATAGAAAGATCACATAAACCCGCAAGTTGTGTGGGCCCACCCATTCTTAGCCTGATTATATTGAAATAATGTAAAATCAGTTTAAAAGTTTATGTAAATAAAATGTTACTTTTTATTAATTAATTTTATTATTACTCCCTCTCTTTCATTTGAAATAATAGTAATTTATTAGTAAGTAATTTTATATTTTTATTTTGATTTTATGTAAATATGTAACGTTATGTTTGCAATTTATATAAAAATCAAAAATATTTTAATTATAATATATATAAATGGATAAAAATGTTACAAAAGAGTATTTTGAATGGGCAGGGATGGAGTATTTTAATAACTTTCTGAATGGCAGAAATAAATTGATTTAAAAACACACTAACTAATACTATTAAGCATTAATTTGGATGTGAAAGTCTGTATTGTCTTATTATTTGTGGGAAGCAAGAGGTGGAATACCGTTTCAACGATTCCAAAAGCCTAAAATATGCAACTTATATATCATTGATTTAGAAATACAGAATATACACACTATATATAGCTCTATCTCTCTACATATATACGCGGAGGGAGAGAGAGAAACTGGGAGATTGGCAGTGTTAAATCCTAATAAGCCCTACGCTACGTTCTCCGTGACCACTTTGTCGTATATCCTTCTCATCCATCATCACGTATGGTATTGTTACACAGTAGAGGAGGAGGAGGAGGAGGACAAGGAGGAGCGCTGAAATTAGACGATAGAAAACAAGCAGATGTGGTAGCGGAGAAGGGAATGCGATTGGGTAAGTATGAGTTGGGAAGGACTCTAGGGGAAGGCAACTTTGGGAAGGTTAAATTGGCCAGAAACCTGGAATCGGGTGAACCTTTTGCCATCAAGATATTGGAGAAGAACAGAATTATCGATCTCAAGATCGCTGATCAGGTTCTTCTTCATTCAGTCATTAACTCCTAATTGCACTTCTCCTTCGATCTTGTGTGTGTGTCAGTGTGTGTGTCAATCTACTTGATATATATAATTCACTTCCTTGCCGTGTCTTGCCTTCCCGATAGGGACGGTCCTATATAGATATATATATATATATGTATATTATATTGTGTTGCATTATCACCGTTTCAATGATTAATCTGAGAATTTTAGTATAGTTTATTGGCATGGGCAGTTGGAATCTCTTCTTCGATTCGATCGGCCACTCCATGTTTTTCTTTATTTGTAAATTGACAGTCTATGTATGTTAAAAACCACTAGGGCTGGTCTGGTCTGGTCTGGTCTGTAATTAGCTGAAGCAAAGCAGCAAGCAATTCAGAACTACTACTAGATAGGGATAGACAGATATCTGTGAGGGATGGAAGGGCTGCCTGCCTCCCTGCCTAATTTCCGGTGTTCGTTCGTTGCCTCTTTGTTGTATTCCTTAATTTGTTGTGTTGTGGCCATACGGTTCCCCTTTTCGTCCTCCTGCTTACATACGCACTCTCTTGCTCATATTGCTTCTTTGGTTGGTGAACAACAATTGAATTTGAATATATTCATTCATTCATTCTTGAATTTTTGTTTGGATGATTGATAACTGCAGATAAAGAGGGAGATCGGAACCTTGAAACTCCTCAAACATCCTAACGTTGTCCGATTACATGAGGTATGGTGTGCTCCATTTCTTCGTTCATTCATTCTCTTCTCTCTCTCTCTCAAAGAGTTAGAGTTACTTCTTAGTTGCGCGCACTTCACGTTTACGTTCCCTTTACTGTTTCTTTAATCCGATGGTCAATTTACATCTTTGATTTCCGCACACAAACTTCCCCATCGTCTCCAGATTTTTATTTATTTATTTGAAAGCAGCCTTGATTTTGAATCTATTATTGTTATTATTAATTTCCCCGATTTCCCTCCCACCATGGTCGGCTTTACACGCAACGCCTTGCGTTAGATTTGATTACGTTACTGAGAACGGATCGCATGGTTTGCACGCATTCGAGATTTTAATAAGATTCTTTCTTTGCGTTGCGTGTCCATCTCAGCTCATCTCATGTTTGATGCTGCTGCCATCAATTATCAGACTTGGGATGGATATGGATATGGTTGGGGGGGGACCAACACAACACCAACAGCTCTTAAGGTTTAGGTTGACGGGTCGGAAAGGCCCATATGGGCCCATTGTTATTTTGTCCTATTGCATTAATTCGCGGTCTTCTTCTGAGGACTAACCGTCCACATGCTTTGCTTTAAATATGTGGTCTCTACTCTATTCGCCTATGTGGCGGTTTGTGGGCTTCTACTTTCAGATCTCCTCTCCAGCACTAGGACAGAAAATTAACAAGTGTTTTTTTCCCCTGAAATGAAAATTTTAGAATAGAATAGGATATTATACTATTCCGAGTAGTCGAATCTCCCTTATTTTGTCCTTCTATCCGAATGATTTGCATAAGAACAGATAGGCAAGTTACAGTAGGACTCCAACAGCTTAATTAAGCTTGTACACCTGTTTCTGACTGTTTGGATGGATATATACGCCAGCCCTAACTAACTAACTTATATAAGACAATAGAGTTATTATATATTGTAAAAAAGACAATATTGTCTGTAACTCTCTTTGGTTTCGAAACTCAGCGTAAATTTCCCCTCTACTTTAAAAATTGTATGACGTCCCCTGATACTTTAAAAAATGTTGCACGAAATCACTTTGTGGTTTCGAAACTCAGCATAAATTCTCATTTTACTTTTAAAAATTGCATGACGCTCACTTATACTTTCAAAAATATTGCATAAAACCCCCCTTCCATACAAAACATATAGATAAGAAATCATCTTCTTTATCACACGAGGAAAGTTTCATGGTGGTGGAGTTTCATGCAACGTTTTTAAAAGTATAAGGGGATACCATACCATGCAATTTTTAAAGTATAAGGACATTTTACGGTGACTTTCGAAACTACTGGGGAGTTATAAGCAATTTTACATGTAAGAAATGCTCCCATATCATATCATATGCCCTTTTTGTTATGATCATGCTACGTATGCTTGTGTTTTTCAACACTAGGTCCTGGCAAGCAAGACAAAGATATTTATGGTCCTTGAGTACGTGGATGGAAGTGAACTCTTTGAGAGAATTGTGAGTACCGTTTAACTTGCATGCAGTTAAATAGTCCGCAATGGATGATTAATCATACAATGCATATCTTCACATCGATGCATGCCTATGGGAAATCACCATTCTAATGCACATATATATATATATATATATATATTTGTATGGTTTATAGGCATGTAAGGGAAAATTTGCGGAAGCTAAAGGGAGAAAACTCTTTCAACAGTTAATCGACGGTGTCAGTTACTGTCACAACAAAGGCGTATTTCACAGAGATCTCAAAGTAAGTCCCCTTTTGATAATTTCAGAAATAATATATCCGTATTGCAATCATTCTTGAATATCGAATCAAATGTCAAGCTAATGTTCTGTCCGTAACTATTTAATGCAGCTAGAAAATGTGTTGATTGATACCCACGGAAATATCAAGATAACGGATTTTGGCCTCAGTGCATTGCCTCAGCATGTTAGAGTGAGTATGGCCTTATATAATTATTTATCAAGCTCATTTTTATCTTGCTTCTGTCTGCTACGCTTGCTTGCTTGCTTGCTTACACATATACATTTGTTTGTATTCTTTAACTGTAGGATGATGGCTTGTTTCATACAACATGTGGAAGCCCAAACTACGTCGCCCCTGAAATTCTTTCAAACCGAGGGTATGATGGTGCAACCTCCGATACGTGGTCATGTGGAGTCATCTTATACGTTATTCTCACTGGATACCTCCCTTTTGATGATCGAAATCTTGCAGTACTCTATCAAAAGGTTTCCCTCTGTTTTCATTTTGCATCACTCTTATTAGTATTATGTCTTTTATGGGTTTGTAGCCATTACAAGGCTTCTAATTTTGAAACCAGATCTTCAAGGGAGATGTGCAGATACCGAAGTGGCTGTCTCTGGAAGCAAAAGACCTAATAAAAAGAATACTGGACCCCAATCCTCATACTAGAATAACTATGGCTGAAATAAAAGAAAATGAGTGGTTCAAACGAGAATATGTTCGTTTAGATCCTGGGAAAGAAGAAGAAGAGGAAGACAACAACAATGACGACAACCGTGAGGAAGACAGCGATAATGGTGCTAACACGGATGATGAAGTTTCATCTGTTCATGAAACTGTATGAAATTTAAACTGTAGTTCAAGATTTCCTTTCAGCAGCTCAATTTCATCTTTACATGAAATTAACAGTGCTCAATCTCTTATCTTTAGCCTTCAGATGCAGATAAAGAACAACATTCCTCTACTCTGATCAATGCCTTTCAGTTGATTGGAATGTCTTCATGTCTAGATCTTTCTGGCTTCTTTGAGAAAGAGGTGAGAATATTTTTTGCATTTAATATTTTTTATTTTAGGCATAAGACTGGGGTGGCATAAGTTAGTTCCTTATATTAAAAATATGTACTTGTGATTGGTAGAACGTTTCTGAGAGGAAAATCAGATTTACATCTAAACATTCTCCCAAGCAACTGCAAGAGACAATTGAAGATACAGCAAAGCAGATGGGATTGAATGTCCAGAGGAAAAAAGGAAAGGTCAGCTAATCAAAAATCTTCTTGTCTTGAGAAAGAATTAGAACTAAAGCAGTTCCAAAGATTTTCAATCACAGTAATTAATATTAAATCCATGGTACCTACTGGCTCAAGTGTTTGTTTGCTTGCAGCTCAAAGTAATTCAACCATGCAAAGGTCTGAACGTCCTTGGATGGCTCTCAGTTTTTACAGAGGTAAGTAAGTAAACGGTAATGAAGATTTTGGTTTCAACATGGCCACTGTCCTGAATATCTGCTTTTCTCCTCTTCCAGATTTTTGAGATAAGTCCCTCATTATGTGTAGTAGAGTTGCAAAAAGTTCGTGGTGATCCTGTCGCATACAAACAGGTTAGGGGTCCTTAATTTTTCTCAATGTCCTTTGTTTTAGGCTCAGTCACATATTGCTGACAATATACACTATGCAGCTGTGTAATAAAGTGTCGAATGAGTTGGGAGTAGCAGCAGGAAGCTTCAATCAAGCCGCAGAATTCTAGTATTGTGAACTACTACTCCCAATCAAGAGAGAATTCTTGAGCCGAGCCAAGCCAATGCAGAAATTCTAGGCATAATATTCTGTAGTTTATTTATAATTGAATGAAACAGTGGTGCTGCCAAGACACTTGAAAACAGTGTCGAAACCTATGTGTAGTTCTGTCCTGAGGCAGCGGATGAAAAGTATATACATACAATGAAGCAAGCATATATATGTTGGTTGTTTCTTTCTCAGCATCAGGAAAGGCAATGCCGCCTGACTGACGGTTGTAAGAATTGGTTCCAAATCTTCTTAGAAAAAAGAAACAATACCCATAGTTAACCAAAAAGATCCTTTTATCTGTGCTGTCCTGTGCTTCCAAAGATCTGTTTGTGGATAAAAACTAGTGTCTGGCCAAAGGTCCAGCCTTAACTGTATGTATTAAGTGATGTATACAGTATAACAATTGTAGTCTTTCATCATAGTTGTCAATAGCGCGCAATAGCGGCGTAGCATAGCGGAAAGGCACTCTGCTGCTACGGCCGCTCCGCAATTCCGCGTTTACGCAATAACGGTGTAGCGGTCTGCAGCGACACTTCGCTACGCTATACTCCTATTGTAGCTTATTGAATTATTTTTTAACATGTAAATAATTGAAATTTAATTTTTATTTATAAAATATTTTTTTTTATTATAATATAGAAAAAAAAAAGCATTTATCTTAAATTTTAACTAAACTTTTAGATTCATTCCAAGAAAAGAAATAAAATTAGAAAGCCAAAAGTTACAAGATTTGATTTATATAAAATATAACCAAAATTTGTTAGATCATTATGTTAGCAATAATGTGATTTGTCCTATTGTTTTGAATGATTCCAACAAATGGTTAATTAAAAAAGTTGATAATTACGAATGATAAGTTAGTATTTGACAATGATAATTTGACTAGGAGAGTTTGTTGATGTTAATAGGTCTATTTTGCTTATATAACTATCTAATAGTTAATATCATATATATATTGACATTTTATTGATTTGAGTGATAATTATGAGATTAATTTATAAATTTTTATTATGTATTTTTGTTATAATTTTGTATGTATAATAATTTATATATATATTTAAATAGCGGTTATACCGTTATCCGCTATTCCGCTATAGCATTTTAGATGATTCCTTTGTTTATGTTTTGTTTGGAGTGGTGCTGATAGTGTATACTTGTACCAACATTCATCACTCTTTTTTAAGTCTTTTTGCACCAAACATTTGAGCACTTGTGTTCAGACTTCCTTGTGGTCACTACTCGACTTCCAACAAACATAACACCAAGAGGGGAGAGGAATACGATGGAAAATCAGCACCATGCTATTATTTTTAAATAAGTAAAATACAGAAACAACGCATGCTTTATTACACACAACATGTGTGCTATATAAGAGTATGTTATGTGTTGTATGTGCTGTGTGACACTATATTAGTTTACGTGCTATATTTGTATCATATTAACACATACTGTGTAATATCTGTGATAATACCGTGTGTTGTCTGTTAACACATGATGTGCTATTCAATACGGTACTGGTACTGAATTTTATGTTCAGCACTGTAGTCACCGTCCACTCAGAGGCAAGTCCGTGGGATTGCAATTTGAGCTACAAACTAACATATGACACCTTGGTTCAGTAGTAGGTCTTCATTAGTACACTCAAGCTTGAGGCACTTGAAGAATTCTATGAAAGGGTAAAGAACTTCGAGAGTTAACCATGTGGAAATTCTATTTACAGAGCAAGTTAACTATATAAAAGGTGGGTTGTCAAACTACACAACCAAACAAGTAACACTATTGACAACACAAATCATTCTATAGGTTCTCATGTCCGAAACTTACCTGATAATCATCACACTGGCTTTCTACAAGTATGTTTTTCAACTTTGCTGTATTCAATTGCTGTTCCGCTCTATCTTCCATTTGAAGCTTCTCGTGCAACAGTGTTTTGTACCGGACATCTCTGTCCTCTAAATTATGCACAAGTTCAACCTACAGGGGAGATTAATAGGTAGGTATCAACAATACTGATAAAAAAGATGAATATCACTCTAGAAACTGTCAAACAGAATTCTTTTACTTTGAGCATGTACAAAGCTAAGCCAGTGCTGCCGGACAAGTGGGTGGAAGTGTAACGGCCTTTTAAATCCTATTTTCCGAAACACTGGATGTGATACATCCATGGCAAGTGTAAGAAGTTAATGAGTAAAAAGAAAAAAATATTGGTGGTTGGTTCTCAACTAGCTCAGATCAGATTGGGGTCCTATGTTGCATATGGCATCAAAATGGTGTACAGCACTCAAACCAGCAATACTACTTATTGGTGATAAATGGCACTACATGATCTACCTGTTTCTGGAACAAATCAAATTCATCGGTGCTCAGAGAACCATCGCTGTTCGAATCAAGGACTTCCATCATCTCCCTAGCATCTTCTCCTTGAGCACCGAGCTCTTCCATTACTTCCATAAGCTCTTCAATGCTGAGTTTACCATCTCCATTCTTGTCTAACAGACGGAAGACTCGATTTCTGTGATCAAAATCTAGACTTCTATGATTTGTGGAAGGAAAATCTTTGAGTCGCAGTGCTGCTAGTTCAGCTGCAGCCATCATAATAGCCTTAAGTCGTTTAGCCTGCAATATATAATAATAAAAGATCTTGTAAACCCATGAAACTGAAAGCTTTCATGACAGTGGTGGAAATGATTCTATATTGCTGGCAAATAAAAGGATGACTGACACCGTAATATCAGATTTTATTTCATAATAAAGTTCTTACCTCTTCTGGATCAGTAAGACCCCCTTTGTATAATGCATGTGATGCAGTGCCACCAGCTGCCAACAAATCCATTTCTGTCGTGCGAATCTGTATTTCCATCAGTGGCCTTTTCCTACCATTTTCACTAATATCAACAGCCATGTGTAAGCTCTTGTATCCATTAGCTTTGGGCTGCATGATATAATCTTTGGACCTGCTTGGCATTTCTTTCCACAATGATTGGACGATCTCACGTGCTCTATAGCAGGCTCTCTCTCCAAGTGCAGAAGAATTTACTCCAGACGCAGGGCTCAATATCACTCTTAATCCTAAGATATCATTAACTTCCTCGGCTCTGCGCCCATCTCTCAGTAGCTTCTTCATGGTACTGAAACGACTCTTGTAACGACCTTCAACTGATATATCTTCTACTATTTCAGTTAAACATTGATCAGATCTCAGGGATTGAAGCAATTGCTCCTTGTATATCTCTATGAGCGGCCTACTTCCAGTCTCATGGCTCCTCAACCAAGTGTCAACATAGAGGTATGAATAAGGAAACAGATATTGGAATGAGAGATCTTCCAGTTCAAGGGATAGAAGGTTTATTCCAACAGCATGTGCTAGTGGGGCATATATCTTCATGACCTCTAGAGAAATCATTTGCTGTTTGTGCCTAGGGAGATAGTCGAGGTGCCTCATCATGTCAACCTTGAGAACTAAGTCAAGAATAATAGCCCTCACATCATAGTATGTAAGGCAAAACTTCCTTAGTGCTGAAGTGCTCTGGTCATCCAGGTCCTCCACCTTTGTAGCAATGCTTTTTAATCGAATGCATTCATGTAGAAGATGAGCAGTAGCAGTTCCGATGCGATCCTTAACTTCGCACATGGATATAGCACCTTCCTCTATGATTTCACGAAGTATTCCAGCAGAAATAACTTCAACGTCCATCTGCAGCCAACATCAGTAATGAGAACTCTAGTCATCATAAAATCCCCTCGTCAGAATCCAAGTATAGGAAAAGCCATCATCACATCACATTACTAATAAACAATTTAGGTGGGAATTAGAAATCATATCGATTGCATTGTAGCCAAGATATCACAATTCCTAATTTGTTATTGCCATCAATCAACAAGATATATATACTACAGTTCCTTAAGAATTTATAGGCTACTAGAAACTCAACTAACTTAATTTGAGAGAAACGAAAGAAAAGATTGATTGCGATTGCAATTGCAATTTGCAAAGCAGGAGAGGAGGTTTAAGTAGTAAGTAGTTAAGAATGAATGAATCGACAAAGTTGGGGATATGATAACCTGAAGATCGGCGAGAATCAAGGCGAGAGACAAGGCTTTGGAGAGGGGAGAGCGACCGTCGGGGAGAAGTGGGAGGGAGTGGAGAATAGGAATAGAAAGCTTGAGGGCCTTGAAGAGCAAGCGGGAGGAGCTGGTGGAGAGCACGGTGCTCATTCTCTCGGTCAGCTCGTTGAAAGCCCCAACCAACTCAACCACCATCTTCCCTCCAGGTTGCTCCAACGCCCCCGCCGATGACGATGCTGATATTCTCAGAAATGTGATGACACGGCGGCGTGTATTTGACGACAAGGATGATATTGAGGTTGAGGGGGGTTCAATGAAAACAGGAACAGGATAAGGATTCGTCGTGGAAAAGCGGGAGCTGAGACGAAGCTCCATTCTATTCTATTCTATTCTATTCTCTCCGATGATGATGATGATATGGTAATGGTGGACTGGCCTGGCTGGCTCCTTCCTTTCCCTTTACATACACTTCCACCGGGCGAGGGCAGTTAAAGTTAAATGAACAGGATCGGTTGAGTTGAGTTGAGTTGACATTATTGGTTAATTGGGCAGTCAGTCAGTCAGTCAGTCGTGGTCCGCTGAACGCCACGTCATCTTACTCATAAAATTGAGAGATGAAACTGCTATATAACAACCTATAGGAGTGAGTGACAGACTAATATGTACAGCGGGACTTGGTAACAACACTTGTACGTTATGTTTGAATGAATTAATGAATGTATAGGTGCATATATATATATATATATATTCCCAAAAGGAACACCCATGAACTTCACCCAGCAGCAGGGGGAGGAGAGAGATCATCACTGTAAGAGACGATACAGTGGCTTACTAATCGAAGCCACTCTTACCACTTTCTATCCCAATTGTCCTCCTTTGAAAAAACGCCAACACAACTGTAATAAATCTACTAGGCTTCGCCGTCGCTTGGTGTAGAAGAAATGGCATCGATCCCCTTATTTTATTCTCTTTTTCTCTAAATTGCACACACTCTCTCTCTCTCAAACCTTCTTTTCTACCGGTAGACAGATCGAACGTCGGTTGAATTCGATACTAGGCAGCAAGAAGAAGTTGGGTGGCGGCTGCTGCAGGAGGAGGAGAGGGGCGACGTGGCAAGATTGGGTGAAATCCAGCGACACTGGAAAATATCCGACGAGGTCGGATGTAATCCAACAAGTTTCAGTGAAATTTGAGGTCAGGGCGAAATCCGGCGAAACTCAGCCAAATACGGTGAAGATGGGCAAAATCCGACGAGGCGAGGCCTTTACAGAAGATTTGGAGAGGTGGTTCGGTGGGAGTCGATTCTATCTTCGACACGTCACCTGTGGCGGGTTTTTTTAGATGCTCTGCTCTCATGAGTACAGTACACTAACAGAAAGTATTTAGGCAACTCAGCCAACTTATCACCTGCAAGCAAATAATAATGTGTGGATTGCATCAAGATTCAAGAAAAAACAGTATAAGCAGAACTCTTTTAACTCCAGGTGATAGAGTAATGCTGCTCCCTCTCTCACCTGGTGAATATATGAGCAAATCATTAATACATTTCAAGTTTTATCATCAAGTTATTAATCGTCGATGATGATGATGATGATGATGATGAACAATATGCACTGTACCATAACCACCCACAACTAAGAACAAATTATTTTCCAAGTACAAATGTCCACAAACCTCCCAAGGCATGATAATATTCAATACCACTATTCAAACCAATCAGCAATCTCAGGGCAGAGGTTCCTGTGAATCTCCCAGCCGGGACAAATGCAAGTAAGCATCTGTGCCTGTAAGAGAAGCAACAAAAATGTGACTCTAACATAGCTAACATGCTGTTTAATCCAAGTAGGATTACACGAGAGCATTCATTTCCAACAACAGCCGAAAGTAAAACCATCCAGGCACTGGATGCTATTCAAGGATTATTTGATTTCCAATCAGTATTTCACTGGCATCAAGGTGTTCATACTTTAGGACATTATTATGCTATTTCTATTTAGCGCCACGACCACGGTTCTACTTCAATAAGAGTTCAGAATTAACTTACGAAATGCAAGCATATGTTTTAAACATTCTAGTAATAGCCTTCCTTCATTCAAGCAAATAATTTGCATATTACCATGTTAAAACTTTATGATCAAATTCCTTCACACAGCAGAGGAAAGCTAAAGCAATTTCAGAACGCAAGAGAAAATATCATACCGTATCCTTCCATTGAGATAATCTGCAGGTCTCCTCCAAAATATCTAGCATACAAACGGCTTATGGGAAGACCATATCCATAACCTGCCATACTTGTTTCTGTTTCAAGGTCACTTTCGGACTGCCCATCCAGAGGGTTCTTTGCAGTACTATAGAGGTATGTAAAGATTCTAGGAAGACCACTTCTGGGTATTCCACCTCCTTCATCAGAGACCTATAAAACATCGAAGAAACCATTTGACATTGTTGAATAATTAAAGATTGTATGGAAGATAAACACAGTCTAGCAGTAGATTCACAATCAAGAGTCATAGCAGAAAATCCAGAGAGGGTGAAGTCACCTGCCTTAATTGTAACATCCTCCAGCCCATCAGCAACTATTAATCGGACTGGAGGTGCAACCTTGTCCGAGTCCATATACCGCTCTTGAACAGCTCGAAGTGAGTTCTTCACCAATTCAAAGACCATCAAATGCAAGTGCGTTGGTACATATCTGCCAGCAAAATTAAGAAGATATTGGGAACAGAAAAAAGAGGGCAGGACATAGAGAGGAACAGCCAGAAAATAAATTAGCAACAAAGCAAGGAACTGGGTAACTCACGGAAATGTGAAATTAGGGTCCCCGTAGATGTTAATGTCTGGTGCACTGCCATATTCTCGCAAGCAAATGGAACGGGCATCTTCACTAGCATTTCTTGCAACCTCAACAGGAGACATTTTTGTATGTATGTAGCCCACACAATCAGGTGGTGGATTTGGATCATGCAAGGCCACATGCTGCCCTGAGTTCAGCATAATTTTCAGGGGAACAACAAAACATATTAGAGCACCTTTCTGCCGATGTAGAGAGTCTTGGATAGACTGGATATAGCATAAAAAAGGATATTAAACAGGCCAAAGCCAAAGGTAGGGGCTGACCAATGAGCATGCGGATCCCAATCCTAGTCAAATAAAATCGATCTAAGAACTGATGAATTTCATCTAGATCCTTGTAATCAGTTTTAGGATTCAGATCTTTCTTCAACTGCTGCAAGCCCAAAGCCATCATAGGAACCACATTGTTGTGCCTAACTTTGATCATCTTAATCATTTTAGTGAAGTCCTGCTCATCATTCCCATCCTTAATATCCGGAAAGGATCTCAGATCGCGGAACGAATCTAAGTACCAATCTCTTACCTACGACAAAAATGAAGTTGGAAAGAAAGAAATAATAATAATTATTATTCAATAAAATAGGATGGTATCAAGCTAATGTTTGGGGCACACAGAATCGTTAATCTAAATAAACAAAAAGATATGAAATAATTGCTATTTAATAGAGCTGAAGTACAAGCATGACAACAAATAACCACAAGTATCATGAATGATGATGAAGGGAGAAAGTTCTCATATAAGGAAAACTTCCTGCTGTAGAATATATAATTAATATACAAGCAGATAATCTTCTCCTCCGCAACCACGAATCCATTATAAGGATATCAATTCTAAATAATTGTGGAAACCCGTCAGTCAACTGCCATGGTTTTGCTGTCTATCCTTCACTTACTTCCGCTAGGAATACTGAAAAACAACCTACTCTTCCCTTAAACGCAAGTGTACACAGTAGAACAAAATTACCTAAAAGGCCGTGTTCTGAAATCATTTCAAAAGCAAACAAACTAATTCTGAATGCCCATGCCCAAAAACCAATGATGAGAAGAAATGACAGAAAGAAAGAGGACCTTCAAGACCGCAGGCTTATTGGACAATCCATATGGGAGGGCACCAAGCTCAATAGCACGGCGAGCGATCCGAATAGCAAGCTCCTTGTGAAGAAACTGAGCAGAAAGAAGGAGGTTCCTAGGAGTGGGACGGGAGCCGAATTCCATCATGTAGCGAAGGCTAACGCCAGTGGGTTTCATGGCACCCCATTTGTGAACTTGATCAATTAAGAATTTGGAGAAGCCCTCCCAAGCTTTATTAGCCGCCATTGAAGTAGCCACCAGGCAATCGAGAAATCAATAAACGCAGAGCCGAATAACATGGAAGAAATCAGAGGGGCGGCGTTCAGGAGGGCAGAGCGGCATGAAGAAGAGGAGTGTGTATGTGGACGAAGATGATTGAGGAAACAGTAAAATGCATCTCCGCGTGCGAGCAAAGTATGTGATTGTGAAGTGGAGAGAGGTTGTTGGTTTTGTTCCACACCACGGGGGTTTTTAGAAATATGTCACTAAATCAACTGAAAGTTAAAAATATATGCTGTATAATAATTTTGTTTGTTAGAAATGGAAACCACGTGAACAGAGATAATAATTTTTATACTATTATTTACACAATTATTTATATTTTATATAAAAAATATATTTATTAAATTAATAATATCTATACATATAATAAAATTATATTAAAATTTTAACTAATTAGTATATTAAATTATAATATAATAAAAATTATAAAATAAAAAATATTAGGGAAAAAATCAATTTTGGTCCCAATATAACCAAAACTCATCATTTTTGGTCCCAATATACAATCTTTATCAATCTTAGTCCCAATATAACCAAAACTCATTATTTTTGGTCCCAATATAATCAAACTTTATCTTTTTTTGTCCCACCGTCAACAAACCAACGAAAAATGCTGACGTGGACTTAACGGAGTCGAGCTGGCAGGTGACCTGGAATGAACATGGCCGTGTACCATAAAACACGCCCGTGAACATACAAGTCAGCATCCGCCAGTCACTATACACGGCCGTGTGACATTTAACACGGCCGTGGAAATTGATTACGGCCATGTTTCCTGCCTGTGTCTAAACACGGCCGTGTGAATAAAACGAACACGGCCGTGTTCATCTGAAAGACAATTCCCGCGACTACACACGGCCGTGTTATACGTTTCACACGGCTGTGTTAGTGTTCACGGCCATGGACTCAGGCTGTGTTTCTGCCACGGTTGTGTGTTGTTGTGACACGGCCGTGTTGGCGTCGTTATTTCTGTTATCTCCCTCGTATTTTACACGGCCGTGTGAAGTTTCATAAGGGTGCGTATCTTTCTGTCTGGCGATTAAATGTTAATATATATATATATTTGTTTTTTAAGTTTAACCAATTTTCAAGTTTGAATTAAAATTAGTAAAAATAACCTAAACATCAGTCTTTAGATTACTATAAGGATTAATACATATTTAAAACAAAAAATCTTTACATATTACACGCAAAATACAAAAAAACAGAAAGCTACTCGTCCTCGTTTCTGTTTGGATGATCCGCAAACAAAGCATCTGTATCAATTGTGACATCGTTCTGTCTTGGTGTAGATGCACGAGGAGCACCATCGTTTGGTGAAACAGGAATGGAGAGATGCTGAAAAATACGGGAAAATAAAGATCTCATCTCCAACCGCATACCGTCCATCTGGCGATGCACCTCCATTTGCAACTCGTCCATACGGCGATGCATATCCATGCGTAAATCATCAATGGTTGACCTGTTAATGGGCATCTGAATGCGGTGCGGCTGATCATCCTCTGGCGCACCCTGATCACCCTCTGGCTCACCCTGATCAACCCCATCTCCTGGTGCATCAACCCTATCAATCAATACATATCTATCTACTCATCCCCTCGTCACCTTCCTAACCATACCCATCATCTGCAACGTTCAAACACCACAAGGCTGCATGACACAAATCGGATCCTCAATCTCTTCCTTTAAATGCCCAAGACCCCTTGTCAGTCGAGTAACATATGGACCAAGAGAGATTTTCCCCAAACGGCCATCCTCGACCTGATGTATCATAAATCGAGCAAGCATAAAACCCAAATTTATAGGGTGACGCTCTAGCATACTCCAAATATAACATAAATCAATATTCGAAACTACCCCGGTGCTCTCTCCCCGACCGGAAAGTGAGTGAGTTAGAATATAATGTATATACCATAGTGGTGGGTACCGAAGAGTCGATGCCTTAGAACGTGCAGAATTGTAAACCGCTTCGGTGCTAATTTGGGACCAGTACACGGCAGATTGAATAGGCATAAGAGTAGGCAAGGCTTCGAAGTCATCCGTTTCCACAAAGTCCCGGTCATATAAACATATTATCATTGAAAAATCGGTGAATGATATCGAAAACATCTTTCCCAGTAATCTAAACGTCAAAGTCTTAGGTTTTTCGTAATTATAGTTCACCGATCCATATCAAGAGTTGACATAAACTCTAAAGTTAAATTTCTGTAACTCGGCTCCACAATCTGAAAAAAACGAACCCACGCTCCAACCAAAACTAAAGCCTCTACCTCCTCCGACATTCCCAACATAGCCAAAACATTCCAATCGATATATTTGCTCTTTGAAAAAGATCTGCTCCTAAATCTTTTATAACGTTCGGCGTGTTCTAATTCACCAAAACCTAAAAAATCATATGTTGTATCCACCATCGCGGAAGAACTTGCATCTATTCGAACTCTCTTGCCCTTACCGTTACCCCCAGTCATTATTACTCTACATTAAAAATAAAATGCAAAATTAAAAATTTATTTTGCGCAAAATATCCATGCAAAAGGCAACCAAAAAATCAAATAATATATAATTTCAAGTAAAAATCATTATTACAAAATATAAACATATTCCAATAACTTAAAATCGAACAAAAAATACCAAAAAAAAAAAAATTATCAACTAAACTCAACAGAAACAAAGAATAAATCATAAGAAAATTTATAGAAAAAAAAACAATGAATATATTCACAAATTACCTTATGCTTCAACAAAAAGACAAGTTCAACCTAAACTTTCCCCAAATAGATGCCGCCCGTCCTCGTCCGCCGATGATCCGTCGTCCCCATCGCCGGAAAAGAAAAAAACGGGAGAAGAAATAGAAATGGGTATCTGCGCGTTCGACCGGAAGAGAGGTTTAAAACTTTCTAATCGAATCGAACACGCCCGTGCACAGGATAACCACGCCCGTGAACCTGTGAAAAGACTTGACGCCTTCACAGCTGTGTACAAACACACAAACGGCCGTGTACAAAAACGGCCCACCTAAATGCTCATGTGAAACCCTAATATTTCCTCGTGTTATGTGAACTCCACACGGCCGTGTCTAAAAAAACACAGCCGTGTATCTTACTAGAAATTGGTGACAAACTAAACACGGCCATGGTACTCTCCGTCAAGGCCGTGTAAATCTCTGGATCACTTTACTCAATCTGTGAATATAAACACGGCCGTGTGAATTTTCGTTCACGACCGTGTAACTTTCTGTCAACTTGAATACGGCCGTGTTGATATTTTGCACGGCCGTGTAACTCTCTGTCAACCTTTGGTATCGAACGTCAAGGTACACACGGTCGTGTGCCATTTAACACGGCCGTGTGGACCTTCATTTTTTCCAAGTGTTCACCCCTGTTGCATGTCTTTACAACCTAATACTCCGAATTTCATTAAATTTCCAAAAAAAATAAAATAAAATTCAATGAATTTCAAATTTTTTAATCCCATTGCAACCAAAATATCAACAATCTCAAAACAAGCCCAAGCATTGGAATATATCAAAACATGACAATCTATTCTAAAAATCTCCAAAATCAATGCGTTCTTGTCGTACTCCCCGTGACGTTCCAACGCGATTCAAGTTTGTGTATTTCCTCGGATCAAAGTTCTTCTTCTCACCTATTGCATAAAAATTCATAGGTTATTCATAAAGAGTTGTATATTCAAACATAATTAATGCAAAATCATACCGTTAATTTTGTTGTGGGAGCTTGTACCCTTTGCGGCTCCTTGTGTTCACTTGCTTGCGTAATTCTCGCAGTGGAATTTGATTCATACAACTGAGCTTTTCTCTGTTGAAAACCCCTAAGTGTGTGACCGATAAGACCACAAAACTTACAAGTTACTCGTCTTTTTTGTTTTGGCAAACTATTGTTATCTCCTTTTTGTCTTCTTGTGTATCCCTTCTCCATAATCTCATCAGGATCACGCCTTCTTGCTGTTTTAGGCCGGACAACAGAGTGTTATACGATAGGTGGAAATGGTGGAGGCAAACCAGTTTTCGGCCACAGTTGTGCTCCATTCATGGGGCCAATAGAATATGAATAAACCCTTTTGAAGTTCTCAACACTGTATACTTCATCAACAAAGTCCGATGGATCTAGCTGTTGACCGCAGATGGCACTCATTCCATGACGACAAGGAATCCCACATAAATCCCATTTTCTACACCCGCACGATTTCTTAAAAATATCCACTACAAACCTGCTGCCATCGGAACAACCCACCTCGTAGGTCCAATCATCGGCCTTAACTGAAACACATGATGAAGCTTCTCGAATGTTTTTTTCCATGATCTTCACTATTTTGGGGCAAAACCGCATATTTTTCCATTTTCGAAGTGCCATTTCTCTCCGTTTTGCAAGCCGTGACAACAGATATCTCCTAATCCATTCCAACATAGGCAAAATTGACATATCTCTTGCATCCAATATAATACTATTGAAAGATTCACACAAGTTGTTCAAAATCATATCACACTTTGAAAATGTCGCAAAATGTGACCTCGACCATTATGAAGGTGGCTTGTCGGCCAACCAATCTACACATTTTTCATATAACTCTTTGATCTCCTTCATAGCATCCTCGAACTCGGGAACCGTGGTTGCATCTGCTGCCATCCAAATAAGTCGTTTATATGCAAGTCCCTTGAATCCAACACTTTTCATATTACCGTAAAGATGTCGTAGAAAAAATCTTTTTTTCTGATCCGGGAAAAATCTTTTCCATAGCAAGAACAAGTCTTTTCTGTTTGTCTGATATGAATGTATACGACTCATCACGTTCTATATGTAGATCATCTTTCAGCATCATGAAAAACCATTCACATGCCTCACGTGTCTCACTCCTAACAACAGCATACGCCAAAGGAAATAATTCGTTATTGGGATCAATTGCAATCGCAGTTAACAAGATACCTTGACACAGACCCTTTAAATGACATCCATCGACCCTAATCACAGGTCGACAACCGGACTGAAATCCAAGAACGAGCGATTTGAAACATTTATAATATTTGCTAAATCGTCTTTGTCCATTTATAAACTCCCCTTCCAACTCCATCGAGACACGTGATCCCGGATTCGATTGCCGCAGTGCTTCAGCATAATCCTACAACTTTCCATATTGCTCATCTGCATCACCATCAATTGCTTTGAGTGCTCTCTTCTTCGCCCTATATGCTTGTTGATAGGATACATTGCATCTAATATCTTCGGAAACATCAACTCTAAATCCTTTCACACGTCTTGAAGGGTCCGATCGAAACAACGGTTCGTATTTTTTCGCAATCCAGGAAGACTTTACATTCTTGACATTTAAATCACACAAACAATCATGCTTTGATTGATAGGTTCGGATTTGATATGTCGATTGATCGCTCACTTTCAAAGCATTTATTCTCCAATTACAACTTTGAACTGAGCATCGAACATTCTTCTTTTGTCATTTTTGACAAAACATAGAGTCCTCATCGTCAAGATAGCGTGATTTTGGATGGCCTTTTTAAACTCTTTTTTCGAACTGAAAATCATCCCGAGTACAAACGATGGATTGTACTTGGTAGATGAATCGTACACCGTTTAAGAATTGTTGAGTTCTGTATCGGACTCGGCAATACTTGTGAGATCATTTTCGTGTGAATCTTCCAAAGACATCTCATCGTCAAAATTTTGACGTACCACAATAGATAGATCCTCGTTCATCTCCTCATCATCTACCATATCTTCGTATAACAAATGATCTATTAAATTAGCTTCCATATCCTCTTATTCCATCAAATAATCGGGATCTTCAAACTCCGATTCTTCTTCTCTCATATCTTCTTGATCTAACTGTATATTTTTTCCCTTCTCAATCATTCTATTGTTTTCATCAGTCATTTTCGATAAATATTTTCTTCACCTACAAGAATACTAAAAAAAATATAACTAAGAAAACAATAATAATACAATATTTAAAAATTATAAATATAAGATTCAAACAAAATATGCAATATATATATAATCAACTTAAAACATATACATCATATATCACTAAACACACAACTTAAAAAACCCTAAAAAAACACTAAAACTATAAATTATATCAACATATAATCGATAGAAGATAAAATATATTGTATACTTTACTTACCAGATGAGTAGAAATCTATTTCGTCGTTTTTCGTCGTCTTTTTCGCCGTGAGAAATAAAATGTAGATGGAAAACATGGCTGGGAAGAAGAAACGTTGCAGAAAGACGACGCCAACACGCCCGTGTCACAACAACACACGGCCGTGGCAGAAACACAACCTGAGTCCATGGCCGTGAACACTAACACGGCCGTGTGAAACGTATAACACGGCCGTGTGTAGTCGCGGGAATTGCCTTTCAGATGAACACGGCCGTGTTCGTTTTATTCACATGGCCGTGTTTAAACACAGGCAGGAAACATGGCCGTAATCAATTTCCATGGCCGTATATAGTGACTGGCGGATGCTGACTTGTATGTTCACGGGCGTATTTTATGGTACACGGCCGTGTTCATTCCAGGTCACCTGCTAGCTCGACTCCGTTAAGTCCACGTCAGCATTTTCCGTTGGTTTGTTGATGGTGTGACAAAAAAAATAAAGTTTGATTATATTGGGACAAAAAATGATGAGTTTTGGTTATATTTGGATTAAAATTGATAAAGATTTTATATTGGGACAAAAAATGATGAGTTTTGGTTATATTGAGACCAAAATTGATAAGATTTTTATATTGGGACCAAAATTGATGAATTTTGGTTATATTGGGACCAAAATTGATTTTTTTCCAAAATATTAATATACTACTATAAACATATAGTACTCTCTCCGTCTTAATACATTTATTATTTTTGTCCGTACTAAAACAATATTTGTCACTATTTTTTACACTATAAAAAATAAAACTAAATAAAATAGTAATAAATAAAATTATTTATTAACAATATAATTGTTACGTATGAATTTTAGAATTAGGGTAAAAAGCCCAAGATAAAATGAGATGTGGACCCGTCGTTGGTCCCGCCAGATTGATTAAGGGTTTTTTTTAGGATAGTCTGTTGAACCAGGTGTCCATCTAAGGAGACAAAGTAAACAGAGTCGGTCGGTTGGTTCGCGGTCGGTTGGTTCGTCATCGGTTGGTTCGCGGTCGGTTGGTTTGCCATCGGTTGGTCTGCGTTCGGTTGGTCCGCGGTCGGTTGGTTCCCCGTCGGTTGGTCCGCGTTCGGTTGATCCGTGGTCGGTTGGTCCGCCGTTGTTTGACGCGCAGTCAGTTAATCCGTGGTCGGTTGGCCCGTAGTCGGACCAAGTGAGGTCGTTCGGTTGGTTGAGCCGGTCAGTTGATACAGAGGTCGGACAAAAGTCGGGTAAAGGAGGATGAGACGGTATGGAGGTCGGACAAGAGAAGATCGGGCGCTTAATGAATCGTCTGGACAGATGTTTGTTTAGTTATTTGAGGGGACTAATTGGTGGTCGCTCGAGTGGGCAACTGGGTAGTCATTTGGTCTAGTGACCAGTCGGTTGGTAAATTGTTGAGTTATTCGGTAGGTTCAGTCGGTCGGCCTGCAGTCCGTCTGAAGTATGCTGGGCATTGGGAGCATTCATTCGGGACTAACCGTCCATTTAAAGAAGTAAGGCGCCCAGAGGCGGTCGGTTGGACCAGTTGAGTTCTGGAATTGGCAGAGCGGTTAAAGACACGTGTTATTGAAGGAGGAATTGGTGGGCGTTTGAGAGTGTTTACGGTAACTGTTCAGACGACGATTCCAAGCATTTTATTGAAGGAATATTTAAGGATTTGAATTTAGTGTAGAAAGCATCTTCAATCATCTTCAATCGACATCAAATTCAAGAGAATTGCTTTTGGGGATCACCATTTTACTTTTTCAGTCTGTAGTTTTTATTTTCTTAGTTTATTTAAGTATCGTACGGTGTCTAGAGATTCTTAATCTCATGCATTTATTTTATCAAATTCGAGGATAATTTCTATTTTCGGATTTTACTTTTTATTGTTGAAAAATTGTATAAAAAATAATATCAATATTCCTTCGGTGCACAATACAATAAAACTATACTTTTGTGATAGAAAGAATATTATTATAATTATTATAAATATAAATAACATATAATATATATTTATATTTATATATATATATATTATTTATAATATTTTGATTTATTTTTTTCGTCAGATTTCATGTTTTTATTATATGAATTTTTCATTTCAAATCCAATCAAAATTTTCTCGTATCTTAAAAACACGCCTAGTAACTTTTAAAAGTTTAGGGTTTGCAATTTTTAACTTTAATGTATTTTTCAATTATTACATTTTTAGTATTTTATTTAATAATTTAATTTTTTTTATCTACAAATATATTTTGTCTAAATTTATACAAATTATATAAATTAATAAAAAATTACTCCTTTCGTCCACACAAAGTAAATATTTACTTTTGCCACGGTGTTTAAGAAATAATAATATTTTAATTATAGTGGGTAATTAAAAATAGTAAAATGACATTTTTGCATTTCTTTTTTGGTGTAAAAGTAACGATGTGATGTAAAGTAAGAGTATTCTTGAAAAAAAATGATATATTTAATGAAATGTTTACTTTGTAATTGAACGTCGAAAATAGAAATATGTATACTTTCTAACACAGAGTATTATACATTAATAAAATTCATATAAATTTATACAAATCCATTCAAATAAATAAATACAATCTATCATTGTAGATTTCCAAATCGATACAGAAGTTCATAAACTTGATCACAAATTAATACACCCCTTAATTACTAGTACTTAATTACTACGGCTACATTATACCGACAAAGCTAACCCTAATTCCCCATTTGATCTTTCTCCTGTCATCTCTGCGCTAACAAGCATTCTCCATCTGCCTTTCGGGATCCTGCTCGGGGTCCCCCTGGAGAATTTCTTCTGTTTCCGTCATTTTATCGAGTAGGCGGAAGTGGAAAAAGAAGACGACAATAGGCGAAGGAGGGAGGGAGGGAGTAAGGCAAGTGAAAGAGATAGAAAATGGCCAACCTGGATTTGCAGATGAATCCTCAAATGGAGCAGATCCATGGAGAAATTCGAGATACTATGCGCGCCCTCGCGTACTCTCTCTCTCCCTCTCTCACTCACACACACGCACGCACATGCCTTGTATGTTGTTTCTGCAATTTGTCCATGCCCCCGGAGATTAATTGAGTTGGCTTACGGTATTTCTATAAATGAGAATAATTTCAATAGGCTGCAAACAGGGACTTTTGATGTTAATCTTGTGTTTTCTTCTTCTATTGTATTGTAACTATATAAGCACAGTAATGATTGGGAAATTTAGCATCATCCTCATTTATTATCAATTTAATTGTGTTCTATGTAGGAATGGCTTTCAGAAGCTGGACAAAATCAAAGACCCCAATAGACAAAGTAAACAACTTGAGGACCTCACAGGGAAGATGAGGGAGTGCAAAAGGCAAGTTTGCCTCCTTTTTTTCTTCTGACTTCTTGTTATTGTATATGAGTTCTAATGCAGATCTTTGCATATTTCACATGTATGAAGAAGAGTAGAAGACAGTAGCCAAAATGAAAAAAAATTAGGAAGAAAATAATGTTGTAGGCTTTGCTTTTGAGTTTCAACTAACAGGAATAATAGCATTTTTAACATTATTCTGTAAGATATGTTTCTCGGGTCCTCCTTCGTTATTGATTGTGTGTGAAATCTTATAGATTGATTAAAGAATTTGATCGTGAAATTAAAGACGAGGAAAGCAAAAGTACTCCAGAGATTAACAAGCAACTAAGTGATGAGAAACAATCCATGGTAAGTTTGTTGCCACCAAAAATTTCTTTGCATGTCTAGATTAAGGTCATTATGTTATTGTCACAGGATTTGTAATCCCCCTGGATTTTCAGTATTAGTAGCCTTAAATTTTGCAAAGCATGCTAATTTAGGACTACTAACTAAAAGTTGATATATAGATGACAAATCTTTATTTGTTGAAGAGACAATGTGGCATAATGGATTGTAGTGGATTCGTGATTATTGGACTTTGTATTATTTTTCATTGATGACTTTGAGTTTTTGATAAGAACAAAAATCGATGATATTTTGTTGTTGGAATTGTGTTGAACTTCTAATTTACTGTGTTTCTTTTATAAGATGCTGGGACTGAAGATCATTTGGTTCTATACTTCTATTTTTGTATTATATATTAGGTGAGTCCACGTCACACCATCTCTCTGTGGATGATCTAATGTAATTAGTTTAATTGTTTTATCTTTTATGGACTCACCATTTTCTTGATCATCAAATGTGATTATCTAATGATGATACGTGCTAGTGAACTATGCTCAAAGGGGTGCCAAACCTCTGCTGTACATATTTTCTTTATGCTGTGGGCTTTCTTAAAATTGACTTCATTATATGCAGATCAAAGAGTTGAATTCATATGTAGCCTTGAGGAAAACGTAAGTTAGTTAGTTTCTGTTTTACAATATTTAATTTCAGCCTTGAGCTATTTGATTAGCGGTAATGCTTTAAGAAGTTTGCATCTGGATGATATTTCTTTTCTCAGATGCAAAATGACATGGCTTTGGTTGAACCTTTATTGTTTCTTTGAAGGTTTAAATATAAGTTGAACCATTGGAGTCTAACTGCTTCTGAACAGTAAACAATGGATTAGTTTGTGCAAGTGAGTATGTGTTCTTTTTGTGTCTTGTTGTACTTATAAATAGATCTTGATTTTATTATTAATAATTAATTTTAAAATTCTTCCAAAATGTAACATGATCTCAGAACAACATTTTTCTCTGGGTATGTTCATGTAACTGGGAATATATCCGGAAGACTAACTCTCGAATCTGAGATCCTCAACAATGCAAATCTCAAATCCTCTCACACTCTAAAAGCATCAAACCCACACTTGAAAATATCAAACCCATCCTGATCCCGTTTGTTCATTACTTTATTGACGCATCCGACCTACATCGCCACCGCCACTATGTTCTTGACTCTAAGATGACACTAGTGACAGAATGCGGTCATCAAAACTCAAAAGCACTTGCACCAGTCAATGACTGGTCAACACTGTCCATGTTTTTTGTTGCTGCTGACTCCAACCGCATGTGGAGGTGCGTCTGACATTCAATCATCAGAATTTTCTGACAACAGAGTACTAGAAATATTTCCGACCTAGCTTTAAGTTAGTTTCTAGTTTTGATTGAGTTTTTCGTTCAGTCTTCGATCTGTCCAAAGTTTCTGTCTATTATGGTTTAACGTGTCTATTGTGATAGAGGATTGCCTACACCACTGTTGTGACAAAGGATCACTGCCATTAGAAACCTTAATTTGGTCTTCTTAAGGTTTTGCACCACACTGCAATAGAGGATCACTGCCACAAGAAAGCCTAATTTGACCAGAATTTTAATTTTTTAAGGTTTAGCGCGATAGAGGATCAATTTAAATGGTCTAAAGATAATGCCTAGTTATGTATCTTATTGTGGAATTCTTTGGAATCAGTTATACTACCAACATATTAGTCATTTAAAACTTGATATGAAGTCCATCCGTACGTCGTCACCTCCGGTCTATTTTGCCAAACTCAAGCTAGCTTTTACGACACCGTATTAGGTTATTATTTACGCTTATAGCTATCGTACCATGTTTGTAAATAAGCCATGATTGCATTATTAATAAGTAACTCGTAAATTCTCCCATAATGTGACATGAGGGAAGTCCAAGGCTCTGTTCTCTTTGAATTTTATTTTATTTCTCACTATGTAATTTCATCGTTTTCAATAAAAAAAACATACCTATTGTACATGGTAAACATTATATCCAGCAACTATGCTATCTAAAAGCAACAAAAATCAAAACATATAAAAGAATGCACCTTAAGTTTGTGGCCAATATCTTCTATAAATTGTTGTATCCATACTATCTTGCGTACCGAATGTGACCTAGCTCTATATTCTACTTTGAAAATAGAGAGAGAAATTACGTTTTGTTTCTTACTCTATTAAGTATTAAGCAATATCGAATAGTAGATCTCCTATCATCCTTACACCCAACATAACCTGCATCAATGAAATATTCTGTTATGGAATTGGGTAAAATCAAGGTCTATATTAGAAGAAGGAGAAGCACCGTAGTCACTTAGGATAATTATTATTTTATTCTTTATTATTTCTCTTATTATTTTATTTACAGTTTAATTGTTAATTATGAGTCTTGGGCTTGGCCCATATGTCCACCTATATATAGGGCATATCTAGGTCATGTTAGGTTAGACAGCCATTATTTTGGTTTTGATTACAGAGGGAATTGATTTTCCTCTGTGGTACTCTATTTCCTTTGATTAGAATAAATTCTCTCTTCGATAACCCTAAGTCATAACAATTGGTCCGACCTGCCGGATACTCTGCTGACGGAATCATGCCCATCTCCAATCAACAATGATTCGAGCTATTGGAAGCAACCATTGGAGAAATACAGGAGGAGGTAAATCAGATCCGTCAGGATCTTTCCGCCAAGTTCGAGACTTTGGGAGAACATAACACGAATCAGATGGTTTCGCTGCGGCAGGAGTTGCTCGCAGCAATCAAGGCAGCGGTCGGCGGCGTCAGCGCCGCCGCTGACGCAACTGCGTCAGTGGGTCAGCCACCGACTCAATTCCCGGCGCCCTCAGCGTCGCCGCCCATAGCGCAGCATCCACTCGCGCCGGATTCTCAACCGTTATGGGGGGTTGACCCCCCGCCATGGTAGCTTTGCCACCCGCATCCTTTCAGAAGTCAGACTACCACCGTTTGATGGGATGGAGCCTATTGGTTGGGTTGCTTACGCTGAGCAACAGTTTGAACTCCAAGTGCGAACAGAACTCAAGGTTTCATTAGTGCGCATCGCCATGGAGGGTACAACGCTGCACTGGTCTCGATGGCAACACTTTCGCCACCCAACTGCCACTTGGGCGGAGTTTTCCAGAGCCCTAGTACTTCATTTTGATGATCGTGACGTAGGGAGCCCCCTACGAGCGCCTTGCCACACTTTGGCAAAAAGAGAGAGTTGATCAGTATATCAACGAGTTTATCCAACTGGCGACACAGGTGCCAGGCTTAACGGATGAGCATTGCCTCGGATACTTCATGGGGGGATTGTAACAGAACATCCGCAATCGTCTGAGGACACTAGACCCTAAAGATTTGGACTCAGCTATCCAAACCAACCGTAGGATTGAGTGGGAATTCAATGCTGGTTCTGCAACCGCCTGGTCAATTTGCGAGTTCGCGCCTTAGCAGTGGAGCGCAAATTAGACCTCCAGTAGGTTCCTCTAGTCTTGAGAATGACATCGGGAACAGTACAACAGGCACGGACATCAGCTCCACTGGCGGACGCCCGGTGGGTTCAGACCAGTCCTCTGTGCGAGTTCTCTTCCGGAAACTGAGTCATGAAGAGTATCGTGAATGTCAGTCTAAGCGACGTTGTTATCGCTGTAAGGAGCCTTATACACCATTGCATAAGTGTGCGAGCAAGTCGCTTCAAACTTGTGTGGTGGACCTAGACATGAATTGGTTGGCCGAGCTAAAAGAGATGGACAAGGTCGAAGGGTGGACAGAAGATGAGGTCAGATCCAAGGAGCTCGAACACATGGCGGTAGAGGGGACAAGCTCATTCCTCAAGTTTTGATACATTGGCGCGGACTAATGTATAAGGATTCAACTTGGGTTGATGAAGAGGAATTGCGCTTCCAGTTCCCTGGCTTCCGCCTTGAGGACAAGGCGGTTTTCAAGAGGGATGGAGTTGTTATGGAGTTGGGTAAAGTCAAAGTCTATATTAGAAGAGGGAGAAGCACCGTAATCACTTAGGATAATTATTATTTTATTCTTTATTATTTCTCATATTATTTTATTTACTATTTAATTATTGATTATGAGTCTTGGGCTTGGCCCATATGTCCGTCTATATATAGGGCGCATCTAGGTCATGTTAGGTTAGACCGTCATTATTTTGGTTTTGATTACAGAGCGAATTGGTTTTTCTTTGCGGTACTCTATTTCCTTTGATTCGAATAAATTATCTCTTCGATAACCCTAAGTCATAACATATTCCATTAGAGTAACCTTTTTCTTAAAATAGGCCTTGTCTACAAGCTCATAACATAAAAAACTTTGAAAGAGCCCTGTGAAGGATTGTAGGCGATTTCATAAACTCTCTTAAAACACAAACTGTAAATGCAACCACAGAACGAGTTATTGTCAAAAAATAGCGGGCTGCAAGGTGGATGGTGAGTTGAATGGCAGTAGTGAGGAACAACGAATGACGAGCAGACGTGTTCTCCAACAAATGAGTGGATGTGTGGCATGCACGCACAGCATGGGGTGCTGGAAGGCTTTGAATAGAAGTACGGGTTGAATCTAAAAAGTAATCATGGTGATTTCCCCATACCCATAAGAAAGAAATCCGTACCCACTTACTCAACAAACTCACTCTAATCTATCAAGTATCCATTTTTGGTCATCAGCGCCTAATTGTGCTGATATCATGTTGTCAATAGGCATCTTCTTGTTTTACAAAGAGAGGTTTCACATTTTGCATATATGACATTAGGAGTCTATCGAAATGTTTAAATTCTAATAATCGTGTTTGAACAAAAATCTATATAAACTATGTAGTCAACAAGACAAGAAGATGAAAATGGGTGTTTGTGTTTAAAATAATGAAGTGTCAGTATATACATAGTAAATGTTTATGATATCTACATGTCAGTAATTGGTTTTATTTCAGGAATTTTCCCTGTCTTTCTCTTTGAATGCCTTCTTTATTTTCATTTCTTCTGCTTCTCACTGTTGTACAGTTACATGAGCACTCTTGGTAACAAAAGGGTTGAACTTTTGGATGAGGGGCTCCAGGGAAGTGAGCCAACGGCTGATGAGAATGTTCAAGTAGCATCAGGTAGTATAATATGCCTAGGGTCCTTTTACTGTTTGGTTTCATTTTAAACATGAATTAACCATATAATGCGAAATGGGAGCAGCCTAAACCGGGAAAACGTCATTTTCACCCACAATAGGATTTTTTTTAGTAAAATATATTCTATAAAAGAAGTATTTCATGTCACTATGTTATATGCTGGCAGATATTAACTTTCAACCATCTATTTCCTAATTGATTGCCACCTGTGTTTTCTCCTGTAATTTTTATTCTGCCAATGTATTGTCATTTATTGTCTTGTGCGAAGGTTCTTGCTTCTGCTACCTAACTTCTTTTTTAAACTTATATTCTCTTTCTTTAATCTTTTGTGCTTAGTCTTATTACTTCCGCTAAAGTTTATGCAGGCATTATCTATTTAAGAGAAAAGGTTATTCTTAGTGTGACTTTACTCATATGACCTTGTGATGAAAATTCCACTATGATGCCCTGTCATATATGGCAATTCATAATTTGAGTTATCTTTGTTTTACTTCTGAAGAACAAATATATTCTTTGAGCGGTTTTTGTTTGGTTTTTCCATCTTATTGTTATCATTATTATTTTGAATGGACGCATTAACACAATAAGATATTCCTTTCCTTGGATATTGCAATATTTCAAACACACCAACTGATGTGTAAAACTGATTATTTTTGTCAAAAAGTTGAATGCTGACAATTTGTTTCATTCCCAAAACTTGATGATCTTCTTTGGTTACAATACAAAGTATATATAGGATTAAGAGGGCTGATCTATGTGCTAAGTACCCTTATGAAATGCTAAATTATAGGTAATTTACAGTTAATGAGACTAATTTATAAGCTAACTTAATGGCTAGACAATCTAACTATAATTAATAGGCTAATTACAATTAATGAGAGGATAGACTAATTACAATTAATGAAAGGATAATCTATAGGCTAAGTTAACCTATAATAGCATCCCCCATCAAATTGATGCTGGATGATCAAGAAGCATCAATTTGCCAACAAGAAACTGATGTTCCTGTTGAGTAAGGGACTTCGTAAGCATATCAGCAATTTGTAAAACAATGGACACATGAGGAACGAATAGAATGGCAATCCACCTCAATATGTTTGGTACGGTTGTGAAAGACCGGATTGGTAGCAATCTGAATGGCACTTGTATCATGAAGAGGGGTGGGAGCCGATCGAGGAAAGCCAAGCTCAGTCAACAACCCTCTAAGCCATTGATTTCAGAGCAAGTGGCAGACATTGCACGATATTCAGATTCAGTAGAAGATTTGGAAACTCGATCCTAATTCTTACTCTTCCAAGAGATCAAGGCATCCTCATGAAACACCAACCTGTGACTGAGCGACGTGTATCCGGACAGGCAGCCCAATAAGCATCGCAATAGGCAGAAAGGCGCTTAGAAGACCCACCGGGAAAGAATAATCCGCGATAAGAAGTGCTATGGAGATACCTTAGAATGCGATGAACTGTAGCCAAATGCAAATGTCGAGAGGAGTGCATGAATTGACTCACTTGTTGGATAGCAAAAGAGATGTTTGGTCTGGTAATAGTTAAGTAGGCTCTCCACGAGTTGTCGATACAAAGATGGATTAGGAAGAAGTTCCCCATCGTCCCTATAATACTTGACATTCATCTCTAGGGGAGTATTAACCGCAGAAGAACCTTTCAGTCCTGCTAGAGCAATTAAATCATGAATATACTTATGTTGATGTAAGAAAATACCCGATGAAGCAGAGTGAACTTCCAGCCCTAAGAAATATGTAAGAACGCCAAGATCTTTCATGTGAAACTGAGTCGTGAAGGTGCTGCTGAAGTTTAGAAATTAATACAGAATCTGTTCCGGTGACCACAATATCATCAGCATATACCAAAAGAAGGACAATCCCCGTAGTTGTCTTATGAAGAAACAAAGATGTCCTGCGAGAGCAATTAAATCATGAATATACTTATGTTGATGTAAGAAAATACCCGATGAAGTAGAGTGAACTTCCAGCCCCAAGAGATATGTAAGAACACCAAGATCTTTCATGTGAAACGAGTTGTGAATGTGCTGCTGAAGTTTAGAAATTAATACAGAATCTGTTCCGGTGATCACAATATTATCTGCATATACCAAAAGGACAATCCCCGTAGCTGTCTTACGAAGAAACAAAGATGTGTCATATTGGCTTTGCATAAACTGAAATTGCAGTAATGTGGAACGAAACTTTTCAAACCATGCACGGGGGGCTTGCTTTAAGCCATACAAGGAACGATTCAACTTACAAACTTCTTTAGAAGAAGAGGAGAGCAAACCCGGCGGAGGTTTCATGTAAATATCCTCCTTTGAGATCACCATAAAGGCAAGTATTTTTTACATCCATTTGGTGAAGCGTCCAACCTCGAGAAACTGCAATTGCAAGAATTGTTCGTACAATAGTCGCTTTAGCCACATGAGCATATGCAACACCCCGGTCGGCTCAAACCGGAGTGTCACCGCCACGCTACAACGGAAGGCTCGTCATCAACTACATTATGGCGCTGAGGCTAAAATCAATGAACACAAACAACTAAATAGGAATTTAAAATTAAAGCGCACCGACTTATCAATTAAATAAGTGAAGTTCGAGTAAAAACAATAAGTTGGAAATAGTTCAAAAGGCATTAGTCCTTTTGCTCTCTGAAGGTGCGGGGGATAACAGTGCGACTTTATCATCCCTTTAAAGGCTTCTCACGGTAATCCAACCAAGTTGTTCCCGAGAGCCTTCTCATTATTCCACCACTTCCTGGCCGATCCTTCCAAGTAATATGCGGCTATCATAGTCTTCTCTCCTTCTGGGCATTTCACGACCTCAAATATCGTCTCTAAACAATCCAACCATTATCCTAAAATAGTAGGGTCCGATTGACCAATGAAAGTCGAAGGACTATGACGTAATATTGCATCCATAGCACTCCGGGGCTGCCGAGCGAACTGTCCAAGGTTGGGTTTGAAGGTCGAACGGGACTCTGAACTGGAGGCTTGGGGTTTTGGGATTGCTTACTCTCAACCTTTTCGTCGGACTCAGGTACCATAGGAGGCTGACGAGCACGCCTAGGGGGCATATGCTAATCGAGACTAGACCTAATAAACCTCGCTAATCAAGACTAGGCCTAATAAATTCTAACTAATCAAATAGTATAACCAATGCACCTAAACACAGAATAAACATAAAATGCAATGCATGCCATGAATGCACCCAAACCCGACTAAGCCTATGATCTTATTGATTTTAGAAATTTTGAAATCTTCAAGTTTTATTAACCAAGAAGCATGAGCCTTTAACCTAGGCTCTGTTACCAACTGTAACACCCCGGTTGGCACAAACCGGAGTATCACTGCTACGCCACACCGGAAGGCTCGTTCATCAACTAATGAGCTCTACGTTGTGACGCTAAGGCTAAAATCTATGAACACTAACAACTAAATAGGAATTTAAAATTAAAGCGCACTAGTTTATCAATTAAATAAGTTCAAAAGGCATTAGTCCTTAAACATAATTAATGAATTTTAAAAGCTAACTAGAAGATAAAGTAGAGATAGTTCTCCCTGATAGATCATATGACGTGGATGCATCATTTAGGTATAACAGAAGCATCATCTATAAAAAGGTTGTAAAAAGAGGGTCAACACAACGGATGAGTAAGCACAATTAATCGAAGATAAATTGATACGGTATAAGTCATGATTCACGTGTAAATGCCACAAAATCATTTAAAAAGGATAATTTGAATGAATTGTAACATATCACATAAGGATAACTTACACGTCTTTTAGTGCCTCCCTTACATCTCATTTTCATTCTCAAATAACGGTGATGAACACACTATGAAGAAAACTCCACTAGGCTTTAATTAGGGCCGGCTTGACCCGGTTTTTCAACCTTATTATTTCGTATGGCACGTAACATAATTACATATAACAAACATAGGGTCACAACCCTCAAGAAAAGCTCCACAATGTGTACCTAAGGGTTCGAAGCCCAAAGTACATGGAAGTCAATTTATTTTTTAGTTTGCGAGGGGCGCCAGATGACCCACAACCCTCCAATTTCCAATATAACATACCAAGATGGGATTGTACGCAATCCATCTCTCTATCACGGATGACAGTCTAAAGACCTTTTTATCGTGAATAACGAGCATCTCAGAATCACCCAAAGATGGAACCAGTCATCTCGATCCACCGACCTAGCCCATTCGGGTTCTAGTGCGAGGTTAGCTTGTTATCCTAAATACCGGTATACCCTCACGTGTTTGCAAGGCACAGAGTTGGAAAGCTATGCTTTATCATCCAAACAATCGACGAGTTGATCGGACTCGACGGGTAGTTTTAATTACCAATTTGACACAATACTCAACATGCTATTATGCAAATTTTAGAAAGAATTTTAACCTCAAAATATTCAAATGGTCAACATTAACCAACCAAAAAGTATAATATTAAAACCCAACAAGTTCGCTATTATCTTACTTTATTTCGCCAAATAAACATTTGAATAATATGTTCTTCATAATAGGCATGATCCAACTCAAAAAATCATAATATTTAAATATAAATTATAATTTTTTTTTTCAAAAAAACCATAACTAGGTTAGGGCAAAACTAAGGTTTCAAACCAATTTCACAAATTCTACGATTGTCAATTTAGAATACTATAGTAATCTTCACATAAACCATATGGGACATTATAATCAACTTTCTAAAAGAAATTAGCAAAACCTAACACTTTTAGGGCAAATTCATTTGAAAATAATTTTGAAAAATATCAATAGAAGGGGCCTAGAGATTAGAATATATCTTCTATCTAAGATTAATCCCACTTACCTTAAGAGAAAAATCCAAGAGGAGAAGAGTTTTGGAGGAGAAGAATTCCAAGGAAGAAGAAGAGGCGCTGGGGCGGCGGCTGGCGGCCGATCGCTGTTCTGCTTTTTCCTCTCTTATTTTGTTTTATTTTATATTTTATC